AACATAGGGATTTATATGACGAGTTGTCCGGGGAGAAATAAGCCAACAAATAGAGTATCGTGGAGTCTTCTTTGTGCAAGAATGGACCAATTTGGGGGGCACAGTTTTTAGTTTAAAGTTCATCGAGAGGAATGCTATTTTCTAGTTCCCCTCTTCTTGTTCCCTATTTTTCGATACCTGCTCAAAGAAAAGAAAATGAAAATTAATACGAGAGCCGCACCTCCCAAAAGAAGCCATTCGTCTTGTTGATTATCTATTTGGTTGTCAAGGCTTGAGCTATTGCGCCGGCCCACTCCCTTTCCGTAATATCTAAAAGAAAGAAGGAAAGAAAGAAAGAAAACACATGTGCACATAATGCTGGTCAAAATATAGATTGGCGAGAAAAATGTATGAAATTTAAACTTGTTTCAGGGTTAAAGTATCAGATTTTTTATCTTTAAAACTGGGGGTCTTTGAGAGATGGGGTGAGTGGGGGAGGGAGCTGCACAATCTTTATAGGACCGATGCAAGCAGCGCATCTGAGCTACCGTTAAATTAAGGAGAGAAAGGGAGAGAAACGGAAGGACGGCTTGTGATTTAAAACGAGATTACAGGACGTAATGTACCAGGATCATTCCTGGCCGGGACAGATTAATCATCGTAGCCTCGTGATTTCTGAAGACAGCTTACCGTGGCTTTGTAGGCAAAACCAACACCGAGATAATATGTTATTATTTATTGTGTGTCAAATATTTCTTCCAGCGGTAAATCCCGATGGGGGAGACAAATCCACAGACACCACAAAGTAAAATGACAGAAGACATTATAATTTTCCAAAAGAGTTAGAGAAAGAATATTTTAAGTCCAATTTGACAATGAGGAGAAAACCTTAAAAATACATTAATTGTTCACGTCTTTATGTAAAAACAGGTGGAAACAATATTTAATAAAAAAATAAAATAGGATAACACTGGAAATATTACACGTTCAGTCATTTATTTATATTTTTGGGCTATCTACAAAAAAAAAAAACAAAAAAAAAAAACAAACTTGACACTATGGAAAATGAGGAACATATAGATTTCCGGGAGGTAACACAGGTTCAACAAATACTATCATTGCGGCTGTGGCACTTGGAATATAACGAAAACAATATCATAAAAAAATCTTGCAAATTCAGAACGGATAAATAAAAAATCAGACACTTCAGAAAAAGGAACGTGCTCTGATTCAATGTACAGAAAAACATGAAATGACGAAAAAAAAGAAAGAGAAATCTTTTTTTTTTCTTGGTCCGTACACCTTGTATCCTAAAACCTCTATCATTTGCAAACGATTTCATTCCAACATAGAACAAAAGAATAGAGCTTTTGTTGGAAGAAAAAATATACCTCTTCATGTCAGTAAAAGCTTGAAAACCTGTCACTTCATCAACGAGCAAGCGACAACAGGATGTCATAAAACATATTTATATTCATATATATTTACACGTGAGGTAATAAGAAATACATTATTTAGTGCTGTGTTTTGTACTATTTGTACGATTTTGGTGTGATTATTAATGTCCAGTGGGAAACGTTTTACCGCATCCACGATTCATAAGTGCTGGAAAATAATTGTATATCTCTGCAGCCTTTATGACATACGAACATGAGCAGTCAGTGGACCACATAAACCTTTCGCTTCACTCTCAGCAATGTCAACGCAGAGTACGGCTTTACAATCAATAATGACTTCAAAAATAGCTCTAATAGCATGTTCAAAAGCTTTATTCTGCCATCAAGAACAAAAGGAAAGCCGAGTTCAAACTATAACAGCTAACAATCAGACCGCCTGCTGGGTTCGACCTGCGGGTATATGTTCTGTTTGAGTGCTGCGGTACGAGCGTGGCTACATGATGCTTTCTACTGTTTTTTATGCAGTATGCAGTGTGTGTGTGTGTGTGTGTGTGTGTGTGTGTGTGTGTGTGTGTGTGTGTGTGTGTGTGTGTGTGCGTGTGTGTGCGTGTGTGTGTGGAGGTGGAGTGGGGGCTATGGAGGAAACGACTGTTCAATTTTTTAGAAGTGTGTGAAGGGGGTAGTGGTCTGAGAGGGCGGGGTTGTGGGCAGAGCCGCGCGGTTCACCCCTTTGCTTTGTACCCCACACAGAAGACATAAATAATGGCTCTCAGGTTTGGTGTGATTAAACATAGAAGCTAGGATGTTCTAAAAATAATAAAAAAAGCTAAAGGAAATTGTTTTAAAACACACACACACACTATAAGTAAAATATGGTAAGTGAGTGGCTCTGTCTAGACAGCAGAAGTACATTTAAAGAGGAGAAAAAGTACAGAGATGTTAGGATTCACGGAAATCTATTCGACGAACTGTGTAGCTCTGTGTTTTTAATTCTAACTCCTGCCTCCCTTTTGGATTCTTTAAGTTAGATTTTACAAGTCCTCCCACAAAACCCCCATTCACAAAGTCATAGATTTGTAACGGAACAGTCCGGGCCCTGGAGTCTGCCACGAGTGGAGTTGGTCCGCTTTTTAAGCGTTAAGTTTCTACTCTGGTCCAAAGTGCACATTCCAGAGGGTTTGTTTCACCACATCTTCAGTTTCCAATCTGAAAACGGGAGAATACGGACGGGCACCACATTGCCACAACTCAAAGAACCGTGCTATAGAGGTACGGAAGAGCGGTTCTGAGACGCGGACACAGTCTGAGAGCTTGAGATGCTGTTAGTCCCGGAGCGGACTTTCGTGTTGGGCAGCTTGTGGTCCTTCTTCCATTTCATCCTCCGGTTCTGGAACCAGATCTTTATCTGCCGCTCTGACAGACACAAAGTGTGCGCGATCTCCACTCTACGCCTGCGTGTCAGATAGCGGTTGTAGTGGAACTCCTTCTCCAGCTCCAGAACCTGTTGGCGGGTATAGGCCGTCCGAGAGCGTTTAGGTTCTCCACCAGAGTAGCTGGAATTTACTGTGGAAAAACAAAGGAACGAGGCATTAAAAAGTCAAAAATAAATAAATAAATAAATAAATAAATAAATAAATAAATAAATAAATAAATAAATAAATAAAGTTAGAAGATAGTAAACAAACCAGGCATACGTAAATTGTTGGGAAATGAACAAGATTGTTGCAGCAATATTTAACTGGAGTATTGTTTAAAAAAAATCGAGAACCCGAATAAGTCTCTCATCTCAGTGGTCTAAGAGACAGCAAGAAAACAACAGTGACACGTCCATGTAATGACTGAAGATGTGATTTATTTATTTATTTATTTATTTATTTATTTATTTATTTATTTATTTATTTATTTATTTATTTATTTGTGGTTTGTGCTGTTTCGCATGATCTGGTTGCCCACATGCTGAGAGACATGCAGATGTTGCCAGGAGACGCGCCGGGCCCGAGGCAGTGACACTCCACATCCAGATGGCGTTGTGTGAGCGCCTGTCTTGCGCGCAGACGCAATAGTATTTTGTGTCGACTTGTTTAAAAAAATAAAATAACTTTGTCTGCAACATAAATCAGTCATCCAGAGCACATTATTTTTCGGTGATTTCGTGAGCAAATGGCACTAACTGGAAGTGTGGATACTGTTCTTCTCTTTGTTTTCTAGCTAGTGAAAAACAAAGGCGGTGGTTTTGGCGGAGGCGGGGAGAGGAGTGGTGGAGCAGCAGGCATGATGACACAGAATGACTGACTAAGTAATGATTCGACAAATCTGAAAAACTACAGACATCTGTATACAATATGACGCGGCGGATTTCGGTCGTTCTGACTGTAAAACAGGAATCGATCATTTGTAGGACAACAAAAAATAAAAAACGAAGCAAAGGTCGTTCGTTCATCGCAAATATAACGAGTGAACTCATTCTTGTGACTTTGCAAAGCTGATATTCAGGCTGATGAAGGCTTCGGTTGCAATGCAATAGGCTGCAAGCCTGTAGAGAGAATCCACACCAGACTGGAGCTATTCGCTTTCACATTAGTGTTTTACGACCGACTCTATAAACATGAATATTTCATCTGTCATAAAACTTCCCTTTCCTTGGAACAACGAGAGGAACGGAAGGCTGGAGTCCACCGTTTATAAAGCCGCACCACTTAAAGTCGAATTACCAGCGCATAAAAGCTAACTTATGGGCTCGCTCTGAGTTGTCATAAGGCAGAGCAGCCTGAGATCAGACTTCAAAAGACACCACAGCTGAGAGGTGTAATAAAAATTTATGGAGGGTGTAATTATATTGACCCTGCAAACAGACAACCGTAAATCTCAACCCTGCAGCGAGCCCTCTCTTCTGCTGCTAACGCAACATGGGTTCAGACGGTGGACACCAAGCTTTACGCATAGCCAGATCTCAGCTGCAGACAGTGGAAGAGAGAGGGGATAAAGTTCCCATGCAGCTCTTACCTATGTTTACATGCACCTTCTTCATCCACGGATACACCACTGGGTCCGTTCGGCTGCTGGCGGGGGAAGAAACGCTTTGGCTGCGATGTGTTTGACCGCAGGGTGGAGGGGGAGGAGGGCTCGGTGTTACCGAGTCACAGCGGTGGCTTTGCTCCGACACAGGGGTGGTGTGCAGCCCGGTGGGGAGAATAGCGTGACCCTGGGGGGACGTCACTTCTGAAGCGGGTTGAGGTGCACGCTGGCACGGCGTGTACGGCGGCTCGAGTCGGTGTTGGTGATGAGCCGGGTTGTGCTCATTGTGGTAGACAGAGTCTGGCCGGAAAGCGGCAGGGTCCTGCCTCTGGGAGCCGTAATAGTCCGGGGAGTGACTGGGCAAATAGTCGCTTTGTGAGTATTCCTCGCAAGGTGGAAACTTCGGATCCACATAGTTGGAGTTGATCAAATAGGAGCTCATGGTCATTAATTTCAGTCTTTTTCTTAAATTGCACCGGCTTGAAAAGAAATATAACTAAAATTTATATGTCATCCCTTTAGTCTTCGGTTATTCCTGTTCACTTAAACCCTCCTTCTTTTCTGTCAAGTGAACAAAGTTGGGATTCCACGTGACTGAAAGCAGCCAATTGCACGCCTCTTGGACGGACCCCCGGATAAGGAAATGGAATTAAACATAAACTCCGTTCTCGCACGCGCAAGATCATATGACCTCAGGTTTTGATTAGACGCTCTCACTTTAAGCCTCAATCATTTCCCCTGCTGGCTCTGCGTATCGGACTGCTCTTATTACCAGACCCGGAGCTTGTAAAAGAGGAAGAATCTCGGACAAAAAAAAAAAAAAACAAAAAAACTAACAAAAACAAACAAAAAACGCTGATATTCTTACAACAATAAAAATGAGCGACATCTTATTCTTCGCAGTGATCTTCTGTCGCTTTTTCTTCTTTTAAGTGCCTGACTAAGCAGTTCAAGCATAAAATAAAATAAAATAAAATAAAATAAAATAAGTAGCGGAAGAAAGTACTCTGGGGAGTTAATGGCGCCTGCACCTCCCTCTGTGTACATACAGGGTGTGTGCAGAGGCTGTTTGCCAACTTTCTTCCCCCTTATTCTTCTCATTCTGCGCTAATACCGGGGAGTGGGAGAGTGGGCTGGCCGGCTCCTGCACCGCCACCCAGTAGCAGTGTCAGAGATTAATCTGGCGTGTTTAGGATCAATAGAAAATTCATCAAGTAATTCAGGTTCAGCGGCCTCCTAAATCACCAGAAAACCTTTGCATGAGGAACGCATCGGTGTCATTCTTTTAAAACACGGTTCCACCAGGCACCCAGCCAACAATCAGCCAATCCTCACTTACTGATTCAGTCGGTCATATATATATATATATATATATATATATATATATATATATATATATATATATATATATATTAAAATCATATTTTAATTTTTCAAACAATTTCGAACAGGAAGCAGCCGCTTGTAGGTCGTCCAGGGTCACGGTAGCAATGGTGAATCCGTCGTGTGTAAATCCACTATATACTCCCCTAGAAGCGAATTTGTGATGCTTTTAGACATTTTGACACAAATCCGGATCTACAGGGTAGATATAGAAGACATCGACTCTGTAAAGGTGAAACTTGTATTGTTTTTATAATTTCTGATTTCTCTTCTCTAAATCTGTCATTGACACCGGACCACGTGATAGATCTGGTGGAATTTTAACGCTATTCTAACTTCCTGCAGCTCGATGCCTCACAATAAAAGCGAGCAGCTATTGAACATGTTCCTTTTGTTTCTTTGCTCTTTTGAGAAGAGAAGGAGAGTAGGCTGCACAAAATGCTTCAGAAATACTTTATACAAATTTCTACGTATTTTCCAAAGCTATAAATATAACGCACACGAATACATTTAATTTGGTGGGAAGGTATTATAGGATTTCTTAAACTGGTTATTTAACTGGAATTATGTGTTATTTATTTAACGATATGTATTAATTGTTATTAATTGTTCAAACGAATGGATTTAGAAAAGCATGACGAAAGGTTTCATTGTTTAAATTCCATGTACTTATGTAAAATATGTTTAGCACATGACATGACAGGATTATTAAATATGTATTTCATATATACTTCGAGACGTTGTTATTTGAACAATATTGATAATTTGAGTCTGTCCACGATGGAGGGAAATTTAGGCCTTTATCAGTCTGGTTTTGTTTTTTGTTTGTTTTCTTTTGAAAATATACTACTTATTTACGTACCTAATACGTAGGATGTATTTTTTCCATTAAAAATGTAATGTGATACAAATATAATGTACATTTCTTCAGGCTAATCCTAATCAAATTATACAGTAATTTGGTAAAGGTTACATCTGTAACGAATCAAAAATTGCTGAGTCAGAAAAGAATATCTTGGCTCCTGCAATAGCGGCCGCTCTTAAAGAATGAACGCATTTTCTTGAAAGAAAAGACAAATCACTTGGCACGAAGAGACCCTGTCCTATCAAAATTGTCCTGAGAGATCGGCCTGGAGAATGGATGGAGCAGAGAATAAATGGATAAATACCGCTTCGGCGCAGTAAATGCATAGTTGTCTGTCTTGCAAACTCTGATGTAACTGAATTAAAAAGTGATTTTAGGATTCGTTCTTAAAAAAGGCATGTAATGCATAATGGCATAGTTCTCTTTCTTTCTTTCTTTCTTTCTTTCTTTCTTTCTTTCTTTCTTTCTTTCTTTCTTTCTTTCTTTCTTTCTTTCTTTCTTTCTTTCTTTCTTTCTTTCTTTCATTTGTATTAAATAACACTGTGCCTTGTTGATGATTATATTTAGTCCAAGTGTTATTTATTTATGTAAGAGGAACGCAGTGAATTTCATACATTAAGCTCGATGTTTCCTCAAAAGAGCAAACAACATGTGGATTGTGGAAATGAGAAGGAGTAAAATCTGCTGCTTTCTATTCTATTCTATTCTATTCTATTCTATTCTATTCTATTCTATTCTATTCTATTCTATTCTATGTGCTCATATTCCTATTACCTTGACCCTCAGTTGGGGGTCATTCCAGGTATAGATCAAGTTATGTTGAATCTAACCACAGGACTCGTTTTTCTCTCTGTCAAGTTTGTCAGCACAAACCTTTCAGTCCAATGGCAGATCCATTGTTTCCCCCGCAATTTGTAGAGGTCAAAGTACCCAGAAATATGCAGTCAAACAGGACAACACTTACAAGGAACCTCAGGCAAACAAAATCTATAAAAATGTATATCTATAAAAATGTGTGTATATATATATATATATATATATATATATATATATATATATATATATATATATATATATATATATATCAATCATTGTTCACGGGAGCATTTATTTACATAGTCAGTACTTTGTCCATCATGAGTGATAAAAAAATAATCTATACTGTGGTTAAATTGTGTAATTCAAGAAGAACGTCGATATTTCTTCGGGACAAAGCAAAGTGCAATATTTCCAAAATATACATGCCTTTTAATAAAAAGCCAGAACAAAACACTGAAAATAATAGCAAAGCAAAGAAAAACCCATTTAATAAGGTGTTTCTTTAATAAAACGTAAATATATAAACGAAGGAATTTTAAGATATTGTTGAGGGCCGCAACGAGATGAAAATGAAACAGAGCATATTGAAGGGTTAAAGAAGCCATTATCTACAGCCAGCGGTCTTGTCAATGATTTGAAATATTACGAATGTGAAAAAGCTGCAGAAACAATGAAGAAGAGGAGAAATGTTACTTTCTCCCATTGTGCAGTTTGAAAAACTAAACCCTGCTCAGCTCGGCGGTTATTGTTATGTAAAATAAGAACAGGGAGAAAAATGAAGAGCCGCCGACGTCTGACACTGCTTGTGCTGCATTCAGAGTTCGAAGCTGTGGCGCTGAAACCTGCAATGTCAAACTCCCAGTCCAGAAACTCCGACCATCATCACTGCTCCCAACAGGAGAAAGAAAGAACAAACCGCTATTCAGTGATCGAACTTTCGTTTTCACATCTATTTATCTATCTATCTATCTATCTATCTATCTATCTATCTATCTATCTATCTATCTATCTATCTATCTATCTATCTATCTATCTATCTACAGCACAGTCTCCTGACTGAGTTGAAGTAAATAATCAACGCAGACATGGCACTAAAACGGAAATGGTACTGGAAAACAGAACGCAAATTCCCCTCAGCCGATAAGACAGCGACGCTGATCAATGAAAAGATGAATCAATAAAAAGGGAACTGTACTAAAAACAGACAGACCGAGGAGGAGGGGATGTGGGATCTCCACGTGATCTTCCTCTTCCTCTCAGCATGAGCAACGCACCTGCTACACACACACACACACACACACACACACACACACACACACACACACACACACACACATACAAAGCGAAATGCAAACGAAGCATCTCCTTCTTTCATGCAGCGTATTTTTGCTCTTTGCAGGCTACTCACTCCGGGGAAGCTCACCTGACTTTCCTCCGTCGCTGCCACCGAATTGATCCATGTTTCTGATCCTGATTCCACCATGTCATATCAGTTCTTTTTTTGTGTTAATTTACACCATCAACACAATCCTGGACGCCGTCATGTATTTTCTGCATAACAAGGCTCGTTTTCCTTCAGTTGTCACGACTTAAATCCGCGCTTCCCCGGTCTGATCTTCCAGCATTGGGTTTTTCGGTGTGTTTTGCAGCTTCTAAAGGAGTAATAGGTCATAACTAGGAGGCTGCCATTACCGAAGATTAGCTCCTTCACGCACGCTTTCAGCCCTCTTGGAAAGCGAAAATATGACTCTTCGGCAGCATGCTTCACACGGTCCTCTAAGTGCGATTCTTGCCAAATTTAACTGATTTAACGAGAATCTTCCAGAGGGAGGAAGGAACCCGCACAACCGGCACAATCGCTACCGTCCCACGCCGTCGGTGCGGGAGGATCCGCAGAGATCAGCGCCTGGTGGAAAGTGGAGGCTTTGGGACAGAGGTAGACAGAGCAGAGCGGGGTTGCTGTGAAGACTGTGGTCTCTTTAAGGCATTAAGTGTACGGACTCAAGTTTTCAAATTAATCTGCCAGTTTGGCACACTCTTTGTTTAACGCGCGAGGCGTGACGCCCCGCGTCCCTGATTCACATTTTAATGTTGGTGAGACGAGATGACCTCCCGTTCACCCTGAGCAGAGCCAGCCTCTCCCCTTTCCTTGTGCCTCACTCACCTCCTCTCTTTTCCACACCCTTTCTTTGACACGTCCACCTCTCTGCACTCCCTTCTGTCCCTCATCCTGTCTTTCTGTCATTTGCTTCCAGACCTTCCCTCTCCCGCTTTCTCTGCCATACCAAATTGAGTTGGAGTCATTACTCCAAGAAAAATGACCCATGGAAGGTCTTTTTTTTCACAGGTTTTATTCTTTTCTTCCACAATCATTTGTCCTTTTACTTTTGTTGTATAAATATAGATCACTCAACCAGGAACGGTAATAAGTGAACTAATCGAAAGACTCGGGAGTAGGCTATAACAAATCAACCTGTTATACGACTTTAGAGTTTGTATATCATCAGTAGTGAACTCCATGCCGACAATGCACAGAGCCCTGATTTGCTATATTGTCTAAAATGTAAAAAAATATTGTCGGGGTAACTGGGAACATTTGTCCACAATATTTACGTAATTCTATCAGTATTGCTTTAAACTTCACATTTCACCATTATTTTAGCCAAAACCAAACTAATAAAACACCAAGTTACTAACAGGAATAAGCAGCACCCACATTTTAACAAAATTATGTAAAAGGGGTATAATCTTTAATTTTCCAACATCATACATTTCAGAAATATATTAACAAAACATTGCCTTTAAAAATTATTCATCCCCTTTTAAACAATCTATGGAAATACATTGATTGCAACAGTTTTCACATTACAGTAATTAAATAATCTTATTCGTCACCAACGAGCTTTATGCGCGTTTCTGAATTTCGGATTCATCTTTTGCAGTGTAAGTGCAACATTGTTCAAATTTCATCCAAGCAGTCACGTGGTCAGGGGTCAAGAGTAACTGTGAAGACCTAAACAACAGTCTTGGAATTCAGTGCTAAATTGTAACATTTAGTTCCAGGACGATCAGATTGAAAACTTTGGCTGGACTTCTCAATAATAATAATAATAATAATAATAATAATAATAATAATAATAATAATAATAATAATAATAATAATAATAATAATAATAATAATAATAATAATAATAGTGAGAGCAACAAATATGAAATTGGCAATACATATTCACTGCAGT